ATTATATATATATATATATATATATATATATATATATATATATAATCATAGATTTATAATTAAGATAGATGGACTTAATTTGATATTTGATATATAATTAACGATAATTAATTAAAAATATACATACAGTTTCTTAAACATTTGTATTCATATAACCACTATCAAATCACTCTATCTTACTATCTCTTTCACTATTTTTTATTTAATTTATGTTCTTTTTCCATTTTTCATAAATCTCTAACCAATTGATCCTCAAAGAAAAAAGAGATCGGTTGTTCTGCCATATATGTGACGTGAAATTAGATCTCTGTTAGCGGGGAGCTATACATACTGTATTACTTTGAGAAATGATAATTATAAATATTAAATAATATGCTTGTTTTTAAGTCCTTGAAGACTTACCAATTTTCATTTTTAGTGTCTTAATAAATTTTATTTGATTTTAATCTTATAAAAGTTCCATACACCAAAGAAAAAGAAAAATACACCAAAACAAAAATCTTATAAAATTTTCTTTTATGAGAAAAAATTTTGATCACAAGGAAAAAAAAAATGTTACATGACCAAAAAGTTCATACACTAAAAATGAAAATTAAGAAAAGTTTATAAACTAAACATATTTAATCCTAATTATAAATATGAATTATACAATTCTCTCTTTGTCTTTATATATATACACATTACAAAAATGTTACATACAATGACAAATAAAAAATGTTATTATAAGTATATAATATGTAAATATAAATTTATTTGACATAAAATTACATATATTTCTAATGTTGATTTTGAAAGAGATTTGACAACATATATTATGTCATTATAGCTTATATCTACTCCTTTTTAATAATATGTCAACATATTATATATACAATGTAAGTAAAAACAATTTTTAGTAATAAATATTGTATCATCATAATGTGTATGTCACTATATGACAATCTTTTTTTGTAATGATGATATATATATATATGAGGGATTCACTTACTCTAAGAATAATTTTATTTAAACTTACTTCACTTAATTATAACTCATGTAGTACATCAAATTTCGATAATTCATTCACTGAATTAAATGTTCTAAATGCATGAATCAAGTTTGCAAATTTTTAAAAATTTAAAAATTATTTGATATATTACATTTCATTAATTAAAATCAATGTATAAAGTATTTTTATGATTATCGGTCAATTTAAATTAATAAAATAAAGTATTAAATAAATTTTTAAATTTTTATTTCACCATATGTTCCATCACCTACTCCCAAAAACAAAATAAAAAAAGGTTAAAATACTAATTTGGTCCCTTATAATATTTGTTTGTTTCAATTTAGTCTCACTTTAATTTTTGATTTCAATTTGGTCCTGAATAATTTAAATTATTGCAATGTTGGACTTCCGTCCAAATTATTTAATCAAAGTTAACTGTTGGCCACGTGGATGCCACGTAGATGCGTAGGTGGATGCCAAATTTCTTGAATATACTTGGAACCAGAATGGCCCGTTCTGAAACCAGAACGGCCCGTTAATTCTGGTTGCACATGTTGTGTGTTAATTTTGCATCTAGAACAAGCCATTTCAAATGCAAATTTAACACACCACGAGTGCAACAAAACGGGTCGTTCTGGTTTTAGAACGGGTTGTTCTAGATTCAGAACGACCCATTTCAGAACACCAACCACATACATACGTTCAACAAAATACTGCAATGTGATTCAAAAATTGAAAATAAAAATTCATAACATATCATAAATTCAAAGAAAGAAATATGGTTCAGAAACTGAAAACAAAAATTTAGAACATAACATATACTAAAAAAGTTCAAAGAAATTACTGAGAAGAAAAATCATCTGGATAACGCTGAAGGTGTCAATAATACATCTTATCCACCATATAACACTGAATGGCTGATAGGATATCAACATTATCTACCTGTACATGTGGTTGTGTGGTGAAATATTGGTCCTGTGTATCCTCTTCCTTTACTTAAGGTTGTACCTCCTCAAGAACATGTTGTTGTTGGTGTACATCGTCAATGACTTCAAGAGAAAACACCATGTCGTTTCATCCTTGACTGTATAGTGTCAATTTGGTAGTAAGTGGTTAACTCTAGTTTGACTAACAATGAAATAAAACCTGCTACCATTATCCTTAGTGATACACTACATTATCCTTAATGATATATTGTATAGCCCAAATGTTAAACGTTTAGCAATTGAAGTTATCAATCCCCATTAACAATATTACCAAATCCAGTGTTTTAAATACTTTGTACCTTGGGTATTTTTCTTTGCACGATTCACAACCGTGAACTATAATCATCGACCGTTTGTGTTTGGCATTCTGAAACCAGAACGGTCCGTTCTGGTTACACTATTGGTTTGTTAATTCTGCATCTGGAACGACCCGTTCCAGGTGCAAAATTAACACACCAAGAGTACAATCAGAACGGACCGTTCTGGTTCGAGGTGTATTCAAGAAATTTATCATCCACTTATGCATCTACGTGGCATCCATGTGGTCAACAGTTATCTCCTTTTAAATAATTTGGATGGAAGTCTGACATTGTACTAATTTAAATTATTAGGGACCAAATTAAAATAAAAAATTAAAATGAGACTAAATTGAAACAAACAAATATTATAAGGAATCAAATTAGTATTTTAACCTAAAAAAATTGTCTTGCTGACATCTACTGTGGAAGTACCCAATAATGACATTGGTAGTTAATCTCATCACTTCACATAAATCCCACATATGTATGATCGAGATGAATTTGGTATTACTGTCAGTATTTGTTTGATATCTCCACCTAAAACAATAATTTTTCCTAATATCTAAACTTGAAGAATTAGAGAATTGGAGAATATCTTTATAATGTGTTTGGATGGGAAATTTAAATTGAATAATTCATTTATTTGAAGAATTTCAAATTTTTTGAGGTAAAATACTTTGTTTGGATGAAAAATTTATAAGGAATTTGAAATTCAAGCATTTGTGAAATTTCTTGAAATAGTAGAATTTCAAATTCTCCCAAAAGAGTATGAATTTGAAATTTCTCATATTTTTTCTTCTTCTTATTTTACTTATATATTTTATCTTATCTCTTATCTCTTCATGTTTTTAATTATTGAATATTCAAAAATATATTTAAAATTATTTAATATTAAATTTTTAAAATTATTAAATATTTAAAAATTAGCTAATATTTATTTTTATAAAATTTAATTTAAAAATGTCAACATATAAATATAGTTTTAAAATCAATTTTACCATAGTAAAATCAAATTATCATATCCAACCTAACAATTTAAAATTTGAGAACTTTGAATTGATTTGTCCAAACAAAATATTTAAAAATGATAGAAATTGAAATCAAAGTAATTCAAATACCAAAAATTTAAAATTTCTTGAATTTGTAGAATTCTTCATCCAAACATACCATTAAGATTATATTGACAACTTCAAAATAATACTTATGAGTCGTTTGAACTTTATCTCATATAATTAATCTTGGTTTAGTAATTAACTCTACTAACGGGCTACCTTACTTTATAACGAAATATAGCCGATGAAAACAAGTATCTGTTAAAATAACATGTTTACAAGGCTACATTTTTTTGTGTGATATTATTCTTTGTATTGGAAAAAACTATTACATGTTTTGTTGTATTTAACTCCAACACTTATTCAGCTAAATACAAATTATTACGCATGATAAGAAATTAATATTAAGGAGACAATCGTGATTTGAATTGGATCATCATTTAGGATTGAACAAGGTGCTTGATATCCATTGGGTAAGTGACGGTCGGGTTAGAACCATTATATGAAATTAATGCAACGATTTGGTTGACAGCTTCTGTGGGATGGAATTGATCCCAAAATATGTGATGAGTTCTATCCTGGCATGGTGCTTCATTAGGATTACACAATCCAAACCTCCCTGTTTTGCAACAAGAAACATTTCCAACAGTGAACCCACCTGAAATGTAGACTAGGGTTATATTCTGTGCACCCAAATTAAATAGTAAGACATGACTGTTTGAGGGTTAAATAAGTTTTAGATGTGTCATGATCTAATTAAAATTGGTTTCAATAAGTACATTTTTAAAAAAAATATTAATAATATCCTTTCTAATATTCTCTTTTAAATATTTTCTTCTTTATTTATTGACCAAAATTTATTGAAAACCATAAATTTTGTAAGATTTGTAGTGTCTTTCTTGATTTAGTAAGATTTATTATTTATGATTTTCAACTAATATAATATTAGAGAGTTAACAAGAAAGTATTTAAGGGTGAATAATATACTAGCATTTTTCACAAAAAATAATGATTTTAATTCTTGTATTTATGAAATGTGACAAGTTTTGTTCTTGGCCATACTTTGAACAATGAAGAAAATACAAGAAGCAAAACCATAATTTTAAAATGTAGAGGCTAAAATTAATTTTAATTAACCAAAATTTAGGACTAAACATATGTACTCTACCTTTGTTTTAATCAACATAGAATGTGAAATGAAGTGTAAGAAAATCGAAATGCATACCAAGGGACTTGCTAAGGATGCTGGCTGCGCTGTTTATAAAGATGAATTTGGAATCAACAGAGAACTTGTTATTGAATTCGTCAACCATAGATTTAAGGTTGGCATTGAACAAGGACACAGCACCATTTATCTCTTCAACACAAAATCCATTTGTTTTATATGTTGAGATTGCATTTGGAGTGCAACCTAAAAGAGCCGTCCCAACAAACACCATTTTTCTTGCTCCAACGTCGTTATGTAGTGCCTGCTCCAAAAACCATCTTATATAATTGTATCTTATATCGAATCTGTTTGATATAAGATATAAATATTTTAAATAGATTTGTAGTAATTCATGTATATAAATCATTTTAGGATGTTCAAATGGTTTGCTTAATTTGTTGGAGCCAGATTTCAACACTACCAATCATATGTAGATTTATAAATCAAAGTAAATTTTGTCGGGTTGATGCTTTTATTTTCTCAAAGTTAATTTGCATGGAACAATATATTTTTGAATATTAATTATCTATTAATATTATTGGATAAATGCGCGTGAGAATTAATTAAAACACCACGACTGACATATTTTTTAACTTTCTAAGTCCTAGGCCTATTAGGATTAAACCCAAAAGTTTTTATTTGACAAGCCCTGAAAATGTAAGAGAGACCAGATAAGGAAATAAATATGATGAACGAGGTGAATTATGAAAATTAGTAAATATCAACAAATATAAGATGAGTGTAAAAGTCACTTGTTAAAACCCACCCTATTATTTTTTTAGATTGATTAATTAGTTTTTGACTACTAAAAAATTTACATATTATTTTAAATGCGGTCCCTTATTTTTAATTTTTAAAATATATTTTATTTGTAATATATCAAATCCTTATACTATTTTTCCTCCTGATTTAATCTTTCTAAACATAAAAAAAAAAAAAAAAAATTATTGCGATATTTCCAAGGACAAAATACAGAAAGCATGATATTTAGCTAGATACAAATATTATGATATTCAAAGAAATTGAATGAAAAACAAAAATTACAGAAATATAAAGTTTTTGGTAGGTACAAGAAAATAATCTGATAAAAAAAATGTTGTATGCAAAATTAGTTTGAAAGAACAAAGAATATGAAACTAAATGAGAAAATACAATTTTCTAAAAACTAAAAACTTAATTAAACCAATTACTTTATGCAACTAACACAGTTGTAATGTTTTTAAAGACTGGGCCAGACTTCGTCTTGTATTTGGTTCAAGTCTTCGTTTACACCACATCCCGTGTACACGTCGTCCACATGGGACATTATAGTTTATCTTTTTCATTTTTTATTTGCAGAAGACATTAATTTATATACATAATACATATAATGAGTAATGTAATAAACAAATTAAAGCCAGCTAAATAAATATTGGTAGTGCTTTTATGAAAAAGAAAATTGTAAATTACCTGCATATGTTGAGATAACTGGAGAATAAGGTTGTCGGCATATTGCTGAGGGGTATAGTTACGACTTGTTGGGTAATACTCGGGAAGAAAGTAATTATTTATGTAATCATTGTTTCCAATGTTCACATAATACAAGCACTTGTTAAGGTGCTGTTTAGCTTTCTCAACACCTCCAAGTTTGGTAGCAATTCTCGAAAATATGACTCTGTGGTTTCTCATCTGTAATCCCAAATTAACATTGGCACCCTGCATTGTGTAACACTAATTTAGTGGCATGCATGACCATTTAAACAATCCTCTATACCAAGACCCAGTTAAAGATAGAGAGATCAACAAAGAAATTAAGATATATAAAGGGTATATATATTTGATTTATGATCACAAGGGTTTTTGATATACTCTAATAGATTAAAACTTATTAAAAAATGCAAAATTTTATAATATGAAATTTTAAAAGTTTAGTAACAAAATATACAACTTAGTGAAATTCAGGAAATTAATCATGAAACAAACGATACCATACGTGTGCCGGTCTCAGGTCGAATACCAGCTGCTCCAGAAGCATAGTTCACACCCTTTAGTATGTCTGAGCCACCAGTGTTTGCAAAGGGTGGGATGAAACTCTCAAATCCCAGAAGCTGAGCTGCAATAGTTAAAACCTAACTAGTGAGCAAAATAAAAACTGTGGGGGGTTAGAAAATAGACATGCATCATGCATGAAGGGCTCAACAAAGTATAAGATTACTTTTTGCATTATTTTTTTGTGACCAAATAAGGGTGAATTAAACATGGAAAAGGTTACCAATTAGGTCAACAGCTGTTCGTCCATTGGTAAATCTTCCGGTTGGGCCTAATGGGAAGTCAATGCCATATGGTTTGTAATTGCACTTTGTAAATGTTTGAAGATTGTTGTTATTTCCATTGTCACATAGAGAGTCTCCAAATATAAAAATACAAGGCACTTGCGATTCTCCATGGACACATTGTTGCATGCAGTTTGCAGCTAATAGAAGAAGTGATAGAACCAACCATGGCTTAGAAGCCATCTCAATCTATGTAAAAAATTAAAGCTAATGATGAGTCAAATAAAAGAAATTGGGTTGTGAGTTGTGTGTGGCAAGTGCAAGATGCATGTATATATATAGGGTGGGGTATACTTAGGTCGGTCCTAAATTTTTGTCTTCCAAAAAATTAGAAATACTTTTATTTTCTCTTTACATTTGAAATTATTAATTTATTTTTCTAAAATTATGTATAGATTCTTTTCAAAATTATGGTCATGATTTTGTTGAGAAATAAAAACATCATATCTATCTTTGATTAATTTTTATTGATTAACCTGTTTCTATACTAATTTTATTCTAATATTTTATAGTAAAAACATTGATGTCCCATTTATCATGACCGGGCTAAAGGCCGCCATTGGTGGGTGACAAAGTTGTGTGTCCATGTTTGAACATTTTTTATAATAAAGTAAGACATGAACAATATTGAAGATTTGAAGGTGGAAGAGTTTGACAAGATTTATCTTTTCTTGTAAAGAAAAGAAAGTAACATGGTTGCTAATTAAAATAATAAATAAACTAAGATCACGAGTTTGGCAAGTTTGTTAGTAACAAAAATATAAGATCTAAAGAATTATGAACACATATATTTCAACTTTGTACCAATGAGCACGAATTCCTATAAGAGATGAGTCCATTGGTTCCTGTTTTTGCATTTTGCTTCATTCGTCTTATTGACAAGTGAACGCGCCAAGCAAGGATAGCTGCTTTTGTTTGTTTCTTCTATTTAACAATTGATATATCATGATTTCATTACGAATCAATTCAAGAATTTTCTGCTCCTCCAAACTATTAAAAAAATCATTCTGTTTAAAACATGACACATCTATAGCAAATTATTTATTTATTTTTCTTAATGTTTTCAGTCATATATTCATCGAATTGCTTGTTTTATGTTTCCATGTATATATATCCCTCTATATAATTAATATGGGATATGTATCTGTATATAAACCGCTTGTAAGATAATTCTAAGATAGTAATTGATATTGATATTAATTTGGGTATTATATGAGTTTAAATTTAATGAGAAGAATAGAAACATACGTTAACAATCGATTAATTTAGAGGGAAATGATGAAACGAAAACTAATAATGTATATTTACAGTTGAGTTGACCACATACATTAGTGAAAAATCAGTTTTTTAGTCAACGTTTTCTCGTTGATTATAAAAATATTTGACGTAAAAAATATGCGTGATATTTTTGAAATTAATCTAAAACTTTTTACGTCAGACCAAAGGGAGTCAGACGTAAAAACTAAAATCTACGTCGGATATGAAGTACAGTCCGACGTAGATTTCAATTTTTACGATGGACCCCTTTTGGCCTGACGTAAAAAAGTTGTTTTATTCTCCCTAGTACTTTCGTCTTTTTCGTGGGCGCAAGTGTTTTTCCATTGTTTTCCTCTAGGGTTTTCCTCTAGTGATTTCCAGCAACGGTGATATGAGACCTTTGGGTATTTTTCGATCACGGTGAGCGGTAGCAACAACGGTGAGCGGCGACGACAATGACGGCGAAACCCATTTTTGATTCTAAACCTATCTCTCCGATTGGGTTGAAGCATTTAGGCGTTTTCATGGATTGAGGTTAGTGTGCTTTTATGTGTGTATTGATATTTTTGTGTAAAAATGTTGTTTTATTCCTGCACGTAAGTGTTTTAACACTGTTTTCCTCTCCAGCGATATCCGGAGACAGCGGTGCGAGACCTTTGGGCGTTTTCCGTTCACAATGCACGGCGGCAAGACCCATTTTTTATTTTGGACCTATCTCTCCGATTAGATTGAAGCATTTGGATATTTTTTAGACATGTTCACGGATTGAGGTTATTTTTTTGTTTGTCTAATAACCATTTTACATCAAACGTGGAGGATGTCTGACGTAATTTTACGTCGGCTAAAATACCCAACGTAAATTTACGTCTTTCACATTGATGTCGGACTTTTTTTGGACGTAAAAAATCCAAAATAACAGACATAAAATATCTCTTTTGTACTAGTGATAGTCTTTCATATAATTAAAATCAAATTATGCAACATTCCTTCACCTGATTATTTATAAATTTAAATAAAAATATATATTTATATTTTATCAATTAATTAATTTGAGTATATATATATATATAAATTAAGATCTATTTAAGTTTAAAATCTCGCACAAAATCAACATTAAATATAATTATTAAAAAGATAAGATTTTGTGCGAAATTTTAAACTTAAATACATTTTAATATATATATATATATATTATTAATTAATTAAAATATTTAAATCAAAATTAATTTAAATTATTAAAATAAAACTATTCAAGATTTTTTCATTTGATTATAAATAAAAAATATATTTGTGTTATCAATTGATTTGAATCATTATATATTTGTGTTATTAATTATAATTTAGGAAGAAACTTTTTGGGAGATGCATTTGCTTAAATTAAATCTCACGAGATTTCTTGATTTTAATTTAAACTAATATTTTAATTTGTATGATGCACAAGATAATTATTTATTTTAAATAAATATATTTATAATAAATAATATTTTGATTATATTTTTATTATTATTACAATTTATAATAAATAAATAATTTTGAATATATAAATTATATTTTAAGTTTATGATAAATAATTTGTATTAGATATGTGACATCTACTCAATATATTATAATAATTTAATATATAAAATTGAATAAAAAGGAATCCATAATTACTAAAAGTAACGTAGTTCGACAAGAGGATATCAATTATACTAACTAGAAACAATAACCAAATTAAAGGTCAAATGAAATTAATAACAATGAAACTAACAACTATTCTAAACATAACAAAATGGAATCAAATCCTAATTAAGTTTTGACGTCATATTCTATCAAAGTAAGAACTCAAAGGCGAGATCTAAGCTATGTCACCGACACCATCAACATCATGTTGAATCTCATCTATAATAACATTCATATAAACAAACACAAGAAACAAGGAGTAAGAAATATATTTCACTCTGTCTCATGACCTAGAATATAGTCGGATAGTCAAACACACAACAATACAATAAGACAACTAGAACACAACAACATAAAATAGTATCATAATTTTATCATATAATTATAACATGGTACATCACAAATGCTAATAGAATATATTTCATCACAAGACATTAATAACTCACTACACAGTCGCTTAATGCAATAGACACGAATTGCAAAATGCTCATGCATGTAGCATCAGTAAAATCAAATTGTGGTGTATTGTCATAAGACAACACACAGAGTGACCTAGGAGATCATATTGGGTCACACTCTTATCGCATTCTACATTAGGAGGAAATACATCAGGGACTTGTTGAAACAATTATGTTGCAAAAGTTCCTCCTCATGCACACAAATAGGTGTGACCGAGGATTCTCAAACCCAACCATCTCCAAGGACATGATGAATTCCCTAACTTTTACACAAGGGGGTCTTCCTTGACAACATATTAGGTGGGGTACAATATGTAATATGTTGTATGAGATTGACCAAATTTGGGATTTCCCCCTTCATACAACATATGTAACAAAAAAGAGATTGGGTCAATCTCATTATCCAACATATACCTTGTGCTTAAAGCGAGACTATTCATTCTCCCCCATTACTTCCATGGATGCTAGATAAAATATGTGAATCTTTAGGATGATCTTCCACGAGCTCTAGTTCTCTGATCAATTCTTTAAAGTGTAAGTCTATGAGGGAGAGAATTATGAGAGCGTAATGTGAAACAGACTCAACTCCCCCTTTTAAAACATAACTCAAATAATTCCCTCAATTAATAAAATAAAACGTTTAATCATACCACACACATCAATAATTAAAACATTTATACATCATTAATCAACCCCATTTAATTATAAAATAAATAAATATTATCACACACATATCAATAATTAAAACATCTATTAAAACCAACCCATTTAATTATAAAATAAATAAATATTATTAATAGAAAAAACTTAAGGTGTTATGACATACATTTTTTTTTGTTATTGATTATTGGTAATTATTTTAAAAAAAATATTGAAAATGATATAAGAGATAAGAGGTTTTAAAAATTGGCTAAATTATATTTTTGTTCTTTATCTTATTTTTTAAATTTATTTTAGTTCTTTATTTGTTAAAATAATCATTTTAATCTTTTAATTTTTTTATTTGGATCAATTTAGTCCTGTTAAAAAATGATTATTTTTAATTTTGTAACACGATTTTGAATCAATTTTTGATATTGAATTAAGACATGAAACTTATATTATTATATTCACCTATATAAAAACTATAAAATTCAATTGGTGTTTGAATCGAAGAGAGGTTTAATCATATATAGTGAAATCACATAAAAAAAAATATATCACACAAATAATTAGAAAATGATATGAAATTAGATTTTAAAATTTTTTCAATTGCTTTTTAGACTTATGTTTATGCGATTTTTACCATAGTAGCTAACCTTAATTTTAAGTTTATAACCACAACTATATAAGCGAATACAAAAAAGTAAAAAACTATTATTATTACTATAATTTTTTTTATTATATTATTATATTATTTTATAATATATTATAGATTTACTAATTGATGATAGTTTAAATTATTCTACTTATTAATTTAACGAGGTAACTCAACATGATCCAAATTAGCCTATTGGACTTAGTGGGCTAGATCAAAAAGGCTTGATTCTATTTAGGCCATTTTTTAGCGTCTAGTTTGATTTTATTTTTGTGTTATTCGAGTCAACCCATTAGATCGAACTTAAATTGACAATTCTAATTTCATCTCTTGAGATTAACTTCTATAAAGATAAAGTAATACTTTTAATTGTAATTTCATGTCCAAAGTAGGATCAAACTCTGATCCCTGATTAACAATTTTTGGCAAGTTTATAAATTACTACATAATTAAATTTTAACCTATGTAGAGATATGAAAATTCAAACCGAGAGTCTCATGAGAGAAGCAATTCCACGAATATTAGCAACTCTCATCACACATGTAACTCTCCCATCCTCCTCCTCTCCTCTCTCTCCAACACTGATGAAGAAGGGCATAGTTGTTTAGACTCACTTTTTCAGATTTCCAAAAATGTGTTTAAATTTAAAATATTTATTACATTGCTTATTATTTAAATTAATGTAAATAATCTATTTCTACTTTTATTTTAATTTGAACTATGTAATTAAAAAATATTTTTATATCAATTATTTTATAATTGATAGGTAAAATATAAAATGACATTTTTGCACGGTAAATTTACTAATAATATTAAATATTTATAATATCATTCAATTAATTTAAAGATTATGAAGTGTATGATAAAATTAATTAATTATTAATTATTATAATCATTAAAAAAAATTGTCATATAGTAATACACATTCTATAATGATACAATATGTGTTATTAAAAACTACTTTTACTTATACAACAAATATAATATATGTTAATATATTTTTAAAAAATATGAATATAAATTATAGTGACATACAAAATATATTATTAAATATAATTTAAAATTAATATTAAAATTATATATAACTATATATATATCAAATAAATATATATTTACATATATTATATCTATAATAACACTTATAATAACACTTTTATATTTGTGATTATATGTAATATTTTTTATAATAAATATATCCTCTATAATATTTCTTATAATGAATATATCCTCTTAAAGCCTTAGAATAATTTCAGTAAAAAATCTTCACTGATAATATATCAAATTTAAACTCTACGAGACCAATAATGAAAAAGACATCAGATAACCTTAACGCACTTTCCGCTGATCAGTGCGTGGAAAGAAGAGAAGGGGTTGGGAACCAAGAAAATGCGAGTGAAATGAAGAGTAGAACTTAAAATAATAAACAGAAAAGTTTAATATGCCTCGATCTTCTTAGCTCCATTTTTCTGCATGCTTAGAAAATTTAACCAATCTCGTCATACTACAAATATGCATAGCAGGGTGAATGAAAAGGGCACTAATTTATTTTAATCTAAAGGCTAAAAGGCTATTTGTACTAGAATGATGCTTTTTTTGTCACGGAAATTCTCCTTTAAGCCCATTTTGACAAAGACAACAACAACAACAACAGAGATGAAACTGTGCAATAATGGACTCCAAAGCTAGCTTGTCCTTTGCTTTGCCCCCACTACTCCACAACCGTCCCCTCTTTTATCAAAAATTAAAGCCACCATTTTTAAAAGGGATCAGCTTTCAGCATTCAAAAGAATATTCATGGATCTCTCTCCTTTCAAACCTTCAATAGTTTTCGAACACCAAACTTTTTAGCCTTCATCAAGCACTCAGTTCCCACCTTTTCCTCTCTGCAAAGTTTCCAGATACTAAATTCTGTTCCTCCATAATATATATATATATATATATATATATATATATCCACCTTTGCCTTTATTGTTATTTTTCCCTTTCACATAGAGATCAAAGTAAATAAAGGGAAAAAAATTTAAACTTCACAACAAAATATCAACTTAGATTTTTTTCACACTCCCATTTTACACTTAATTTACACATTTCTTTTTTTCCTTTTCTTCATCACATTACTTCTCAGATTTATTACACTCTGTCATCCTTCCAAAGTGTATATTCTCAAATGAGTGTGGGAAAAAACCATTTTTCATTGAATCTGTATCATCAAATCAAATCCACCCGTTGGTTGATGAATGTTGGCAAATGGTTTTGCACACCAACACCAAGGAAGTCCCTAGTTTGCCCCCCTCCACTTTCTTCATTCAGAATGTGTCTACGTTTGAGAGGGTGCATTTGTGACATGTCACATGCAGAGTTATCTGCCTCGCTCAGCACAAAACTTGAACCGTACATGCCACTAAACTTGTTATTATTCCCATCTTGACCTTGGCTGTTACCACATTTCAAACCTAAGCTCCCAAGCCATGAAGGGTCACTCGAGGTTGCTCCAATTTGAGCAGCTTTCTGCAACAAAGCTGTGGCTGACATGTTTGAGGATGTTTGGTGGGGTTGGTGTTGGGAACTATACAAGGAAGGAACACTTGTGTTGTTGTTGCATAGAGGAAGTGAAGTGGTGCTAGTTGTTAGCTCTTGGCTAGTATTGGAAAGCTTAGTTCCAAACACCCAACTTAGCTGATAGTTATTAGAAGGTGGAAGATTTGAGCATTGGACAAGTGAGTTGCCACCATATATTGTTCCTGAGCTTGTGGCAGAACCAAGTTGATGATGAATCTCACGCAAATTGCTGTTGACCATTGTTTCTTGAGCCTGAGAAGATGTTTGACCCATCCAAAGGGGTAGCCCCCTAGATGTTTGGTTACTTGTTTCGTCAGTGTTTGAAACTGGCTTGAAAATTGAGGGAAAATGGGTAGCCATGTTATGGCCTAGGGATGTTCCCATAACGTTGTAACCAATGTTACCCCCTAACGAGGTGTTCATGTCTGATACTGCATTTACCCTAGCTGTTTCTTCTGCCAAGGCATCACAGAAGGCCCTGTGAGTGATGAAGCTATCCCTCCTGCTCAACCAAAATTAATGTTAAATCATAAGCACAATAGTAACAATAATCTAATTAAAAAGACATACAATTTTTATTTTATTTTTATCGATCAGAATTCCAATGATGGCTACAAACTTCAAAACTAAAATTTTGTATTTATATTAATTCAACTCTACCACTATTTCTCAACGAAAAATTATAAGCAAAACTCGGGTAATTAATATTGTGATTTATAGGAATAAAATCTTGCTCCTCCATTTTGGTGCATTGGAACTCGTGTCAACGTAAAACTCGCTTTAAATATATGTTTGGTTTCATTATTTTTAACCAATCAAATGTTATTTGCTTCGTGGTAGCAAATAGTTATTTTTCGATTTTAATGCATTATTCGTACTAATGTGAAGACAAACACCTCCAACAATAGCTCGACAAAAGTCCAAACGTGAGTAACATGATAACATGACTGAGACATATTATGACTTGTACTAACTAGCCTGTAGGGTTATAACCTCAAACTATATATTGCCAAGAAAAAACTGAATTAATAATCACATAAGGTAACTAAGATAATTCCAAACCAAGAACTTTTGTCGTTTAGGGCTAATGTTACCAAAAGGCTTATCAAAAACTTGTGTGGCTTCTTTCAACTCCTTTGTTTGAACTAAGCCTCATCAATATTATTCCTGAAAGCCAAATAGACTTGGCATAAACCCAGAGAGAGATATGTTTTTGGACCACTATAAATCTGTTTGAATATAGTCTAGAAATATTTTTGAAAGTTTGTCGATAGTAAAGTTGTTAAAAGTCCTTTTAAACATATATTAAAGCATGCTCATGTATAGTCGTGTTACCACTTTTACAAAACAAGAAAGAAAAAAAAAACTTGTTATTCCTATATAAGATTGGTAACAGGGTTATGTCATGATTCAGATGGATAGGTTAGTTACCTTGAAAAGATAGTTCCACAGTCACATTTGTATTCTCTGGTACCACAGGTTTTGGAGTGGGCTTTCCAATCTGACTGCACAGCATAACGCTTTGAGCACTTCTCACACTTCCACTTCTTTTCTCCGTGCTTTCTGCAAAAGTGCTTCTTTATCCCAGTTAAGTCTCCAAGAGCCCTTGAAGGGTCGTGGTGGACACAACTCTTCTCAGGACACACATAAACCCTCTTTTTTGCTTCCTTCCCCGTTCTCTGCTTAAGCTTCCAAGGAAGGTTGTGTCCACGTCGATGGAGTTGAAGATTTTGATCCCTTTGGAAACCCTTCCCACAAGTTTCACACAAGAATCTGTTGGTAGCCATGAGGGTCTTTGGTGATAAGGCTATGACTTCAGCTTCAGGATCTGTGCAAAGAGAAAGATTCCCATGATAAATCATTTGTGTAACTCTTTTCTTTTGATGAGAAAGCAAATTAGCTTTGAATATACCTACGATGATAAAGCTTGTATGAAAGAGATCGAGCATGTCTGAATACAGGTTTAGAAACACTTTTAAAAACTATTTTACTTAGAAAAAAATTCTTTATTTTAAGTAATGAAGCTGTAAAAAAATGTTTCTAAGTTTATATCCAAATAGATTGATGATGATGAGAAAATAGTGAAGCTGGTATGAAAGAAACAAGCATGCCTGGGTTTCCTGGGAGGTTCCTCTTCCTCTTCAAAACATGATGAGGAGGATTGTTATTATTTGATGCAGCAGAAGAAGCAGTTAGGTTCTGATGGAAAGCATGTGTGATTTCTCCTTCATCCATCTTTCTTAGCATCTTCAAACTGTTTCTCAGTACTTTGACTCAATTTACAATAAGAAACTCACACAAAGAGTTCAGTGAGGGAAGAAGTATATTAGTGGCTGAATTAGGAGAAAACCCAAGAGAATGGGCAGCTAGACTTGTTAATTATATATGCCTCCAACCCTAAACAGCACAAACTGATATATGCAAGATGGGATCCCCTCTCTCTTGTGTTTGAATTGATTTAATCTACTTTTTAGGTGGAATGAAAAATAAATAAAAGAAAAACAAGATGCTGTTGGAGGCGGTGAAAAGTTAAAGAGGAAAGAGAGATATAGAGTGAGAGAGATAAAGGAGGGGGCAAAGAAAGAGAGAAGAAGTGAAGGAAAGGTGTGTATGATGACACATGATGAGGTCGATCAGAAGAAAGTTAATGTCCATTTGGAATGATTATCCCATAATTGTTGTTGTATTATTATTTATTTTTTAATCGTTTCTCATCCAATAACTTTTTCTGGTAGTTTGTTTATTTTATAGAGTAAGAAATCATGTCTTTCCTGTATGTGTGCATCGGAAGATAAGTATATACTTATGAATAGTAATGCTCAATTTGCTAGAAAGCAGAAAGAAATTGAAGCAACAACATATATGGTATTTCATCGCTTTAGTTGTGTATATGTAGCCATCAAAGCACCCCCATCCAAATCATTCCAGATTTTATGTTATACAAATTTTCTTTTTTGTAAAGGCATCTTTTAGCTTTTCTTTTTACAACACAGCACTAAAACAAATGTCATTTACTAACAATTTAGAATTAGATCAACCATATTTTTAATTTGTCTTATAAAATTCAAAGTATTATTATAATATTATAAGTTTATATAATTAATGTAGTAAGATATATTATACTACCAAATTGTTTTATAGGTATGGAATATTGGCACATCCAATTTTATTATATATAATGCATAAATCTAAATAGTTTAATTTTCTGTCAAGACAATCATAAAATTGGAAATTTTTATCTGGTAATAATAGATAACAATTATTTATAATGTTATAATGTGTAAATTTTAGCATTATGTAGTTAAACAATATATTTAATGAGTTTATATGAAACTACAAGATATATTTTATAGTATATATTTCAAAATAAATAATATCAATATAAATATATAGTATAATGTATTAGTAAAATCTTATTAATTAAATTAAAAAATATTATTCGTATATAATTATTAGAAAAGGCATCAATTTAAGAAAATAGAAAACATCAAAATATAGTAGGATGATGTGAAATATAATCCAATTTAATTTCCAACAAAATACGCTAATAAGTATAATTCTAAAAGGTGAATCTATCAAAAATGATTTGGAGTCAAGTCATGTTAATAAGACATGACACGTGATATATACCCTTAAAATAATTAATAATGTAAATATTTGGGAGTTTGAAAGAAACATTATTTTTTTCTTCTCATAACTTGATTGACCTCGCAATTTTTTGTTTCATATAAGCAATTTTCTTTTTCTTTTTGTACACAAAAAAAAAATAATGCAAATTAATTTCTTTATATATCTCACCATATTTGAACTGAAATGGGAAAAAAGTGTAATCAGGCACTACCATCTAATTAAGGATCTATTATTTTGTTATTCATTCGATGAAATTTACACACTTCACAAAGTAAAATGCACAATTTCAAGCCCCTTTCTCTCAGAGCCAAAATTTCTTCTTCAACCTAGAATTTTCGTGAGTTTTTAGACTAACTGATTAAATATACGGCTAGCTTATGTTATATGTCCAAATTGATATATATTTAGTATACACGTTTGTCATACTTGTTTGCATATATATAAAAGGTTACATAATCATGCCTCTATAAAACTGGTTTCTCGAAAAGCATTATTTCAGCAGATTTGGTCATGCAGCTGCTAGATATTAATATGACAGCTTGAATTACCCTCACTACTGCAGCTATTTAACTCCAATGCAAGTTTTGTTTCTCTCCTCAAGAGAAAATCATTGTGTTTCATGTGTGTGATGAGTGTGACTTGGAAAGACAAGCCTACCCAATCACAACACCTTTCTTTAACGTTGATGTTCCACAAAAGGCAAAATATACACGATCATGAGTCTTTTGAACCTAGTCAAACCGAAAGTGAATGTCATTTATCGATGAAGATTGATATAGATATCAAAATATTTGTAAAATGTCATTGCTAAACATATGGTGCTTTTTTTTTTTTTTATGTATCAAAATTATAATGAAAATAATTAAGATCAAATTTTGAATATTATTTTAACTCTTTACTATTAAACCGATTCTAGCTGTTCAATATTCTAAACTTACCACTATAAAAATTGGAAGTTGAAATGGGTAGCTACATGTTCATTGTTTTGAACTCTTCTTAAAAAACAGCCATGCACGTGTGTCCATGCACTATCAAACTGTCAATTAATTGAAGGTAAAATCCAAAGAAAACGACGGAAAAAAACACAGAAAAGGGAATAATCGTCCATATGACATGACCATGTCTCACATGGACTGAATTCCTAGCTTATTAATGTTTTTTAATTTACATCAAACTAACATATATAGTTGTACATTTCTAGGTTCTTAACTCTTATTAGTGTTGGTATTCTATCTCGATTACAAGTATTTTATCATTAACTATTGCTATCATCACATCATTCTGTGATGTAACCAAGCAGTGAAGCATAATTTTAATTAACTTCTTAACATGAACTGAAGGTCACGAAGTTGATTTATCAATTTTTTAGCTGCAGATCGATATATATAGCCAACCAACCTTATTACCTTTTTTTGTTGTAAATTTTTGGATGGTAGATATTTTACTTTAGAGCTTTTTCTGAGCATCTTTAACGTACACTTTCTTTTTCTTTTAAATAAAGTTTTTTTTTTATACATCTTTTAAATAAAGGTTTAACTTAGCTGGAAATGTTTTAACCTTGGGACTAATGTAATGGTTTAAACCGGAAAAACGATTTTTTTTCCTAGTAATAATATATATATTTAAATAAAGCTGCATCTACCTTTTTAATTCATTTATTAATGAGGTATATAGTCCTATAAGATTATCAGAGGAGGGTATGAATGAAACAAAAGTCTTCCCCACTATCGTCAACCATTCCACCACAAAAGGAAGAAAAAAGGAGGAAGAATAGTTGCTTACCCTCAACGCTATGCTCTTTTTCTTTCCCTTTAGGATACAAGTATTTAAATTTATTTGAAATGCATTTCCAGAATATGCCATCATTTAATAAGAAATTTAATTTAATTTACTAAATTTAATATTTTACGTATTATTTAACTCATTGAGTAATAGAACAACGTATCAATTAATGATCATATATGATTTTTATATTTATATATATTCCATTAAGATAATGCTGTAATTATATTTACTAGAATCGCATGGTTGTGATATAACACATAAAATGATAATGTGTATGTGGTTTTTCAAAATATATTTGAATTTAGTTTTGATGATCAGATTTCATATTTTTGTTTATAGTTTTTTTTTCTTAGTAGATTTTTAATTCCTTAAAAAGTAGTCTATGTTACTACCTCGCGGTGACTTTACATGTATCTGATTTTCATGAAATTGCATATAACATGATAAATTTAGATAATATTATAATAAATTATTAACAATTGGTAACTAAAGATAATTATTTTAAAATATAATTTATGAAACTAATGATTTTTTTTCTAAACATTAATTACATTTAATCGTATTTACGTATACTATATACTAATTAAAATTATATAACATATTTTAGTTTATATTGTTGTTAAGAGTTTTCACACTTGATGTATAGTGTTGGAGTTAATACTAGGTGGTCCAAAATAGGGGGAAAAAAGAATACGAAGTTACTATAAAAACTAAGGGAGACAGCCAGCTGACAAAGGCAGTGAATTTTTGGAAGTTTGAGCAGTCGTCTCCTTGTGGGCTGACTTTTCCAATTAATTTTCCAAATCCTTAATCATAATCTAATGATGTTTCTCTTTTCTAACATTGTTTAATATAAATCTTTGGAGTTTTGTTGTTGAACTGTGGTGGCACTAGAATATTCTCTACCCCTCCAACACTTCACCCAAAGACTCCAACTTTCAAGGCCTCGTGAGATTCCTATTCAAATATTGCACAGGGTCCCCCCACAACCCATTCTCTCTCTCTTTCTCGCTTATCATAGTTAATTAGAAATTAGAAATAGTAGCCATTTGAAAACAAGAGATTTAGGAAAAGCAAACTGTTGTCAACAAGGCTATGTTCGTTTCTTACTTTGTCCTTCTTGAAAAACCAAGTATTGGAATTGATTGTGAAATCTAATTAAGGGCATCTTTACATGTATATATATAAGGAATTCACTTCCAAATTAGAATTATATTAATTAATGAAAAAGTTACTCTTTGTTATATTATTAGTTTTGTTGGACATAGAGATAGTATTGATACATATTTATGATTTAGTTCAAATATGCTCTAAGTAAAGAAAAAGTATTTCCCTACCAATTTGAATTGCATGTAATTAATTAGATGTAACTTACATTTTGTCATCTTTTTATCCACAAAAACATAGTTTATATGAAATTATGCAGTTTTATTTCTAGGTTGCTTCAATATTTATTAAATCAAGTTATAACATCCCTATGCTATTATGAATGTCACACAATTAAAACATTCAAAATCAAATGCATAAACATAAGGTTAATTATATAGAATTAGTAGCTAAAAAGGGTAGTCTTGTAAAGTGCAAAAATTCAACGAGATATAATTAAATTGGAATAATTTTCCAATACTGTTAGATCTAGGATTCCAGCACAGGAACTCACATGCCTGTGCTTATCAAAAGCTGGAGAATATGTGTCTCGCTCTCTTTTTTTTTATGTTACTCAAATAATAATTCTTTTCTTTAATATTCTTCCGTTTCCTTTATTTTATATTTTAATTTTAGGTCATTTTCTATACACATGACAAGATGGTAGAAGATCTTATTGCGTTTTAGCAAAACCAACTTTACAGGGGAAAATAAGGCAACACATGAATATTCTTTTGGATTTGCAAATTTGTACTTCACTTTTCGAGAGATATGCTTGGTTTCTTTATAGTGCATAATTGCATCAATATGTTTCTTCATTAGAATAACAATGTAAAAGATCAAAGTTTCATAATTTTGTTTTTCATTTTCAAACCTACTATTCTTCTAAATATACTTCATTGTTTATCAATTATAATTTTTTTTTAATTGGCTTTCAATTCAAATTATATACGTGACACAAAGTTAACTCTTCTTTAAGTATTTAATATAACTACATATTCAAGAT